TTTTAGCAAGTTGGGGTTTGGAGAGATAGGCTAATTTTAAAATTTGGGTCAAAAGGGGTAAATTTGTAATTTAAGGCTTGGGGGTAAATTGGTAATTTAGGATAAAAGGGCAACTTAGTAAATTAGAGATTAAAAGGTAATTTCGTAACCTAGGGTTTGAAGGGGTATTTGGGTAAATTGGTAATTTTGGTTAAAGGGTATTCTAGGGATTTAGGGAATGAAGGGTATTTTGGTCATTTGGTTAGGGTGAGCTTTGGAAAATTGCAAGAAGGGATATTTTGGTAATTTGGAAAAAGGGGGCATTTTGGTAATTTGGTCATGGGGTATTTTGCTAATTTGAAATGGGGAATATTTTGGAAGTTTGGTCTAGGGGTATTTTGGTAATTTGGAGAAGGGGGATCTTGGCAATTTGGAATGGTGGATATTTTGGGGGTTAAGAGGGTAGTTTTAGGTATTTGGCATGAGGGTTAATTTAGTAATTTGGCATGAAGGGCATTTTAGGAATTTGGTACGAGGGGTGATTTTGGAAATTTGGAAGAAGGGGTATTTTGGTAATTTAGTTAAGGATATCTTAGTAATTTGGTCAAGGGGTGTTTTTGGGAATTTTGAAAGAAGGGGTATTAGGTGAGATCAATAATGGATTTTAAGGATTTGGGGGTTGAGACAAGTTCTTTTGGGTCCTAGAAGGATCGGAATGGTTTGATCAGTGTTCGAGGGTGAGTTGTAGGTCAAACAAAGGATCGAGAAAAATCCGGGTGCTGACAGTTGGGTTTTGTAACTTTTGTATCGTAGATAACCTCTAGTCTCCTAATACTTGGTCTTTTGTCTTTACCCAATGAATCAATCTTTCTGTCGAGGTTTGACCTTGCATTTTGATGGTCAGGCTGATGGGTTCCTCACTTGGCTGAATTTTGAATCCTAGGGTGGAAAATGCATCAACATACTTGTTTTTTACTCTCTTTCAGTGCTCATAGGTTATTTCTAGGTCCTTAGTGAGGCTCTAAATCAGGGTTCAGTATGGAAGTATAGTTAGTTCTTTGACAGTGGTTTCTCCTCCCATCTAAACGACCATAAGTTTAGAATCTCCTATCACCTTTGCCTTTTATGCTTTGGAGTCTTTTGCAATGACCAGCCCTAACATAAGTGCTTCATACTCTACAATATTGTGAGAACAGGGGAATTGAAGCTTAAAGGAGTAGGCCATGGTTTTCACTATTGGGGAAGTTAGTGTCACCCCTACCCTTGTAGATGAGTTGGTGCTACTATCGTCAAATGTTAGCTTCCATTCAACATCTTCTACCGCTGCGATGAGGGGAAGTTCTCTAGGGATTTCTTCAAAAATATGGAACTCATCACCGGTGGGGAAGGCTGCTAATAGGTCTTCTACGGCTTGGCATTTAATGGTTGTTGGATGAGTGTATTCAATACTGTATTTACTGAGCTACATCATCCATTTCACTATTCTACTACACAAGGGTGGTCAGTCTATGAAGTAACATGATCATTTCTTACTACTAGGATCACTTTTTGCCCTAGGATGTAGTGTCAAAATTTTTGTATTACAAATACTAGTGCCAAGCATTGTTGTTCCATGCGTGAGTAATTCTTTTTTATTGGTTTAAGTGTTTTGTTGGCGTAGTAGATTGGGCATTCTTGCTTTTCATCAGAAAAGGAACCCAAGTGACCTCTTATTCATTAGTTCATGGATAGGAAGCAATCTTACCTATAGAAATCAAAATAGTCTCAGCCAGGGTAGCTTACATAATGGGTAATCAATTCAAAATGGACGAAATGGACTAGATGATGTAGTGGAAGAAGTGCAAGAGAAGTGCCTACAAAGGCAAATTAAATACAAGCAGATCATGGCCACAAACTATTTGTTAAGGTAGTACAGGATAGTCTCCTTGAGGAGGTTTGGGAATCAAAGTTGTGGGTATGTTTTAGTCTCTGAGGAGGTCTAGGAGTTCTTGGATGATAATGATAATGATGATGATCCCCGGAGATCGTTCTCTATTCCCTTATTGTAGAGAGGATCCTGAGGCTATAAGGAAAATGATCTAAAAGGAGACATTTCCTATTAGAAAAAGGGGATCTTTGTTCTTATGTCAACTACTATGGGAGAACCNGGGGGGGGGGGCGGTTTTGCCACATGTCCAGCAAGATCCTTCAGGGACATAGTTTCCTTTCTCCTAATGGATTTCCCACCAGCCACGTGTCACGAACAAGATCTAAGTTTGGCTAGCATGCTCGAATGTCTATTCGATCTTCTTCAAGGCACCTTATTATAGCATTCTGTGACCAAGAGGGACACTAATGACCCATAGGCAGGTGTTGCTAGTTTCAAGGCCTACCCATCATTCGTTCTAGCATAGGCTGTCATTTCGTACTCACCACAAGGTACTGCTAGTACATTGAGTTCATCTCAGACTAGCGATGTTGTTTTATGTCCATCGCAAGTTTGGGGCGATGTTCCTTACTGATTGTGGGTCTTAAAAGGCATTTTGTCCTAGATAGCTCTCTGTGCTGTTACAAGGATACTTGATTGGGGTTTCTCGGTATGGTTTTCCTTTGGTTCCTTCATCATAATCTTGGCTATGGGGAACTACATGTACTTACAAATAGTATTTATTAAAATTTGCTAGAAAGTAGTAGTAATTTTTTAAAATACCCAGAAATTATTATTTTGTTGGTTCTTTTCTATTTATTACTTAATGATAAATTATTGTGATTACTATAATGTTTTAAAATGACAAAAAAAAATTACCTTAAATTTGATATCAAAGAAGAATAGAAGATAACCAAAAATAAAGTACTAGAAATTACCAAATGTAGGCAGAAATTATTTGTAATTACAAATAATTACCAGAAATTGTGTATAATTTACCTGAAATTATCAGTCATTATAAGATAATACATCTAAATCTATGTTAAAATAAAACAGGCTTTGTCATTTACCAGTAATTTTTTATTTTCTAAGAAATTAACAAAAAAATTACTACAAATTATCTTTGACTATAAAAAATTATTTTTAGTTACTGGTAGTTAAATATTAGTAAAGCATCAAAAATTGCCAAATACTTTTTTGGTTTCGGAAAGGTATGGCACTTCAAAAACTTTAAACCAAAGTGAAATCAAATTAATGCCATTAGGCCCATTACCAGTTGATTGGTTATCAGTTTTTTTAGGTACAATGACTTTTCTTCTCTCTTTGTTTTTTTCTGCAATGAATTTGGAAGAATTTAAAGTATTTTATTGGGTTGAAATATTTCAACTATATATTTACCCCTTTTAAATGAAAAGGTTTGTTTTATCATATATAAAAACAAAATTAAACGAAGTGTAGTATAAGATTTCCACCATAAATGGGCACAAGTAATATGATCTTGAGAGGATGTTGATTTTTTGCACTTTTGATCTATCTAATTGGACCATCTGAATCCAAGATCCTATGATGGGTCTGGATGCGCTGATGTAGACCTGTTCATGGGCTGAGTAGCCCGATGGACTGCCCAATCCAACCCATTTTGACGGGCTTGGACGAATATTTAAGTCTGCAGATCTGGGTTTTTCCTTATAAGCCCGACAAGTTCGGGCTTTGAGCTTGGGCTTGGGATTTATATAGGATCGGTCAGGCTTGGGCCTTGGGCCTTGGGCCTACCCATTTTTGCTTATAAAGAGGCCAAGCCCAACCCAAACCTGGCTTGGCCCAAGAACAAATCTACTCTGAAGGCCCAACATCCCCAATGAATACATGATTGCAAAAACTTAACTTTCAGAAGCCCACTATATATGGTTTCCAATTTGTGGTTTTCATGGGGCTCATGGATAATATTGCCCACCATCATTAACGTAGGTACTACTACTATAATTTGATTTTTTTTTTATGAAAACTATTATTTGAACCTAAATTCTGATCCAAAAGAACTTTCGATATGGATCCATAGTTGAGAATTATCACATACATATTGGCTACACAACTAGGAATGAAGGTCGGTATTTTTCCACTCTGATAGAGCTGCATTCTTAGGGGACGTGCCAATCAGCCTGAATGATGCACTGACAACAGTTGTTGGTCTATTGCTCTACAGGTCACATTCTCCAGGTACATTCTCCATGGGACTCCTCATAGCCCTTAACTATGCCTATTATGCATGCCAGGTTCATTCCCATCACAATCTATGCCGTCATCCCATAACTAGCTCTCATAAATTCCTTGTTCCCAACAATATGTATTTTTTGTATTCCCCCATTAGCAAGCAATTTGTAGAATGTATTTAACATTTTCATTTTTAAATATTTTCTTAAATTGCATCCCGTCAGTACCCAACTACGCCTCAAGCTAAGCCTAGTCCGAATTTACTTTGGGCCTGAATTTTTTTACTTGCTCTGCTTGAAGTTTAAAAACTCAAAGCCCAACCTGTGCAAAAGCTTTGGTTGAATTGGATCGGGCTTAGATTGGGTCCACCCAATTTACACCCCTCTTTTGCCTGAAATTGTTTTAACAAATCCTATGCATCACACAGGCCCCTACTAGTACACTTTAAAAAAAACGTTAAATGCTAGAAAAATTAAAATGCACTTGGAAAGCCAATATAAATCTCAGAAATACACATAGATGCCATATAACCTCGAAACACCTTGATTCGGGTGGAATGACACCCAGCCACATTCCACAATCTTATGCCTTATCCTCTCAACACTTAAATCTTGTTCCTGTTCACTTAAGAAATTTTTCAAAAACTAATCTGTTGTATGTCCCAACGTATGTTTCTTGACAAAACCAAGAAAAACAAGGGCTTTGCATTGACGTATATAGGAAGGTATGAACTCTTACAATAGTATATATCTGGTTGAATTTTTACATTATAAACCTATAAGAGTTCAAATGATTATCTTTGTTAATTACTTGATAATATTTTATAGGGAAAATAACATTCATTGTGTACATTTCTCTGTTCATTTATTTGAATAAGCAAGGACAAAAAAAATGTCACACTGAATTGTCCTTCAAGAATCAATGGATTCTCAGAGTCCGGCAAATCAGAAAACACTGGTTTTGCCAAGGTTGACAACAAAGCCTTGTATTTGTCACTCTTTTTACATTAAAAGCTTTTCTGTTTCGGGGGATTACCAATATGTAGTCAATTTGGGAGGATGATAAGATACTCGGCGTATATATTTGTTAATTCATGACCATATGCCATAGTATGCCACAAGGACAAAGTTGCAATCTATGGGCTATTGTCCTATATTCCAAGTAAACACACACAACAAGCTAATTTACTGATGAGAAAGCAAGTTCTCTAGATATCTCTCCACGTTGTCAAGCCCACATAGCTCCTTGACAACAGGCATGGTTGCGGGGACATCAAGCTGAAACATAGAATGAGATCCTTCTAACTTGTGCAAAGAGAAAAGCTCTTTCCGGGCTTCTCTTATTGCTGATCTTGTTGCACAGTGAACAGAAACTGCTAGAAGTAGAGGAGGCTCTCCAGAAGCTGCACAACAGACGCAATCACTATTAATCACAATTAAACAACACTAAGAAATGATCTACATCATACATCATTCTGATAGAGAATTGGATTTGGAATCAGAATTGGAATCCGTTGGAATCAGAATCAGAATGGTCTATTCCCCTTCCCCCTACCTGCTTAGTTCAGACAGAAATTGGAATCGGAATCAAAATCAGCTGGAATGGGATTCTCATTCCCAGGGGAGGGGGAGAGAATGACCATTCCTTTAAATGGGGTAATGCAATTCCACCAGGAATGGGAATTGGATTCTATTTCTGCCCAACCAAACGGTTGGATCTGATTCCAGAACCCTATTCCCACAAACCAAATGGACCCCTGAGAAATGGCTAACTTTTACATTTAGAGCATCTTAAAAGTGTATGGGCTGGGCTGTTCTGTACTTTCGTTCATTTTTCTTTATTATTCTTAATGGTCATAAGTTTTGGGACCATGATCTTCTTTATTTCTTGTTATCGCCTAATGAGGGGTAGTTGTGGCTTTTGGACTCTAATTAGATCGTTGATATAAATACTAATATAGAGCTGATCTTCCACCCATTCTTCCATTCCTCTTTCTTTTCCAAGTTTTCTTTTCTTCTTTGGGTTCGTGTTCATTGTTTATGGTAATCAGAGCAATAAAACACACAGAAGAACCTGTCCCAATCTCTTCTATCTTGTTCTTGAACTTTTTTATTTTTCTTATTAAAGGTTATTCTTAAGCAACCCTAGAACTGATCATACACAGCTAGAAATCAGTTTCAGGGTTCTACCTTTGTGCAGAAACCAAGAAGCTCGGCCAGTTGTTCTATGCCCTACTAGGGTTCATATTAGAGCTTGTAGTCAGCCGACTAGTAGAGAGCGCTGTACTGAGGAGAAAAGTTCAGGTGATCATCTATTGAAGTTCTGTTGCGTAAGAGAAACTCCTCTATAAGTCTGTTCTATTGGCATTTAGGCTGAGTTGTTTTCCAAGGGTTGAACAGCTGTGAGTTTTGGGTGTAAGAGAGTAAGATGTCTTCCAGAACTGGAGAAGATACTTCAAGAGACAATAGACCAACTGAGAATCCACTATCCTTGATAGACCTAACCTGGCTGGCCTTCAAATCACTAATGTGAAGTTGGACGTAGGGCTGTTCATGAAATGAATCAAACTGACCAAACTCAAACCGATTTGGTTGGTTTTAAATGTTAATGGTCAGTTTCGGTTCAAAAAAAAATATAACCCAAACAGTTGGATCGGTATTCAGTTTTTAAGTGTTCAAAAACTGAACAGATCCGCCTTTAAGGTAACAAATTTAAATGATGTCTGGTAACTTACCTATTAAAGGAACTAGCAATGGAACAAGGTTCAAAGTATCGATATGATATGCGTATCGGCAGTATCATATCGGTACTTAGAAATGCCCGAAACTCTTCTTTTTTTAGTTTTTTTTTTCAAATTTTGGTTTTTGAGAAGCTAAAAACAAGTTTTTTTATTAAAAAAGTTGGGGTTTCGAAACACATGGAAACAGGCGTTTCCAAGCATATCGTTTTCAAAAGATATAATACAGGGTGTACCGTATCAATACTTTAAACCATGCAATGGAAACGTCTTATCGTTAGCGGCATTAGATGTATGGTACAGAAGTTAAATCTTGTCCTTTTTACTTTTTAGACTCTAGCCTTTAGCCTCTGTTGATGGATTCTAAAGCTCAAAAGTTAAAAGTTCTAATTTCTGTACTGCAGTAGGGATTTTGAGTTACAGCTGCCAGTGACAGTTTATTCATTTAATTAAAATCAATAGAATATAGGTAATCGTATTGACTAACTGACAATCTGAGGATGTGCGTTCAGTTGGGTAAATTATATACAGCCAAACCAAACGTGTACATCCAACAGCTCTAGTTGGACTATTACAACTAGAGGGAATGGTTTATTTTAGACAAGTTATTTATCACTGCATGTGGATTGTTAGGGTATATGAATGGAAAAATCAAGGAGCCAAAGGAGGATTAATCTGAATACATGGTATGGTGTAGAGAAAACACAGCCATAATGTCATGGCTACTATTTTCAATGACTGAAGATCTCTACAACAGTCCAACATCTCCCTACAGCCTTAAGGATTTGAGAGAAGATCTCAAATGCATATGGACAGAAAAAATAATGCACATATCTACCAGTCAACCCAAGATTTAGTTGCCTTGAAGCAAGAGGATAGCATGGATTTTCTACACTTGAAGGGCTTCCAAAGGAGTTTGATCATCAACTAGTGATTAATTGGGACAGCATGAGTGATACAAAGAAACATAATAGACATATTGATGAAATGATGGCTTCCAAGTTATTAGCAAGCTTAGATCCCACATTAAGAATGCATTTCTTAATGGGGATTTACAGGAAGAAGTGTTCATGAATCCTCCTCTTCTCTACGATGTTGATGATATTTCAAATTTCATTGCCAGACTATATATTTATGATTTAAAATTTTAGAATATTGTTAAAAGCTTTTCTATATTTCATTAAAATTGTCACAATTTTTAAAGTATTTTCCTAAAAGAACCAATGGAGAACTGGGGATTGGAATAATTGGCTTACTATTTTCATATTATTCACTTACTAAGTCACCATGGTTCAAAAGAAGAATGCATGTAACTAAAAAGGGGTATTGTCAATCTAATCAAAATATATAGTAACAAAAAAGACAACATTCAAAATGGCAAGTGATTGACATATTTAATAAAGAGATCGGTATCAACATATTTAATAAAGAGATGGATAAAAGAGAGAGAGACAGAGAGAGAGAGAGAGAGAGAGAGAGAGACCTTTAGAAGTCTGTTAATTTTCTCCTATTTGATTTATATGGTTCTTTTCTATGGTTTTTAAGCCTCAAATGTGCAATTATATTTCTTCTAATGATTCCTTTGAGATTTATTAACTAATTTCATGTTTCTAGAAAACTTCCTGATTTTTTAGATTTTCCAAATATCTTAGTTAAATACCAAAAATAAAAAAAAACGTCCATTCGTATCAAAATAACAAACCATGATAATAACCAACCAATTAACTTACTTGATTGGATATTTTATATTGAACCATTGAATGGAAATTGGATAACTTATATGAATGGGAATTACTTTTTCATTTGGCATTGCTAGTTGTAGGTTATAGTTTAAGTTCTTGATGACCTCTATTTGTCCATCCGGATTCCTTCAATTCTCACTTGTTATTCATGGAAGGAAAGACCAACAACACACCAATCCCTACAAGAATCTTCCCCCCACCCCCCAACCCTGGTCCCCCAGCTTCTTTCCGTCTAAGACGACTCATTCCACTAATTTTCGCCATTGAACTAAGTCCAATAAAATTAAGTGGAAAACAAGGGGAATAGGTAGCTAATTAACTAATGAACAAGTTTAACTGTCCATTAGAGTTGATCTTCATTGAAATCTTATAATTAACAGATAGATAAGTTAATCAAAGAGCATCTAATCATTGTTTAGAATCTACCTTTGGAGGACAGAACACGTTTTTGATGATGTCCACTATTTAGGATCTCAACATTGAATTGTTTTGGGATTGTGTCTATGGTGGGAATCTTGTATGTCCATGTACCATCTGATACCACCAGCCCATCTGAGTTGCTCAGGTACTCTTCCAGCATGAAAAAGCCAATTCCTTGAACAAAAGCACCTTCAATCTGTGCAAAGATATTTTTTGAATGTGAGGCCCAATATATTAGTTTTAGCATTTAAGAGCACCCATTCAATGTCTTTTACCTGATCAACCTTCTAGAACAAAGGAAACCCAATAACATAATCTTAACCATTCTACAGGCCTTTTGGACCACATAGTCTTGGTACTTTATCTCATCAGAGATTAAGTTTCATGGGTACTTGAGATTCAATCAACTCTTCTGATACTAATTTTCCAACACATATGACCGACCAATCAGATTGGTCTGGCCACTAAAACAGTAGTTGAATGGTACAAATCATCCAATCAGGTTAATTCTTCACATAAAAGGTTTAGCAGGACCAAAACAATTGTTAGTTTCACTTCTGGCAAGAGTTTCATAACTGTGATCTGTCAATTGAGCTTTCATTTGATATAGGCTATTTGGACATGCTATGGCATATGGTCATGGACAAATGTATAAGCAAACAAAAGAGCATAAACTTCCAAAGGGTAAGAATTCAAAATAGGAAAACTAGAATACGAACTAAAAAAGTGATGGTACAGTTGCAAATAAGATTGCATTTAAACCAACCTGTCCTAGATCCACAGCGGGGTTCAGGCTTTGTCCACAGTCATAAATAATATCAGTTCGTAAAATTGTGGTTCCTCCAGTTAGAAGATCTACCTCCACCTGTGTTGTTCACGGCTTTGGTATGAGTATTCTATGCAATCTAAACAAAGGAAGAATTATTGACATGGCACCCAGAAAATCAACTATATTACCTGGTGAAATAGCTAAGAGATAAAATAAGTGCAGACTATTATTAGCTAGTAGCTTCAATTATAAAATAGAACACTATCAAAGTTATAAAAAAACCAGAAAAGATACCTTAGAGGAGTCAAGGGAGTATATAAAACATGGTGTCATCAGTCAATAAACACATGTAAAAGGTGAGTTTAGTGATGAATAGTTTCAGAAGAAAGTTTAAATGACTAGGAAGTTGAATAACATCATGCTAATGCTATTATACCAGCTGGAGAAGTTGTGACTTGGTGTCATTATGACTGGTTTAACAGTCTGACAGATGATATGCTGATAATAAATAGAGGAAGTACATGCTAAAGAAAAATTTGACCATTTTTTGAATAACAACGTAATCTCAACAGAAAATCTGGATACTGTTCAAGATAATGTTTGGCTATTGCACTTCTAGTCTTGAGACTGGCTTGTTAACATATTGGTGGATTGTATCTGAGGGATTAGGGTATGTCTTCCCCTAGGATGGCACTATCATATTCAGGTCTGAACCTCATTAGGAACTGATTTTCTTCTCTCTTTTCAAAGTGTTTCTGAAAGTATTTCACACATTCTGCCAGGTCAGAAGGTTCAATAATAACAAGCTCATATTCAGCCCACAAGTCAAGAAAACCTGAGTAATAATCTTGAATCTTTCCATCTCTTTGAGAGTATGCAAAAATTTCTGATTCAATTTGATATTGCCCTGACATATTAGATTGCAGATACACTTTCTTCAGAAGCAGTCTTCATCCTCCTCATAGGAACAGCAATGTGGGATTCTATAGAACTTAGAATCGAAGAGACATGTTTGCCATTATCCAACTTCCATTATTGGAAAGCTTTAGTATCTGTTTCAGCTTGTTTAACAACATCCCAATTTAAATACCCATCCAATCTCTTTCATTCGACATAAAAATCAAAATGAAATTTCCACATCCCATAGTTTGCTCCATTGAGCTTCACCAGAACGACATCTACTCTATCGGAGGCCATTTCAGCAAGAAATAACAGTCCAAACACAGTAATAACAGAAAATATAGGTTTGCCAGTGGCACACTTCAATTCAGAAGATTAGAGAAATAACCCAGCATACAAATTAGGTCCAAGAGTTTCAAAGCTGTTGACAGTTGTTTGTGTATTCAGGTTTAGTACCACAAGGGTACTGTTGTAATTTCTCTTCTGTTTATATTGTTCAACTGGACTAGTATAAATAATAATTTCTTTCATT